CGCTGCGGGGTCCCCCGGGGGGGTCCCCGGGTGGTGGGATCGGGGTGCGTGTCCCCAGGGATGTATCCCGCAGCGTTCCCTCCCCTGGTGGGAGTCGGAGCAGCTGCCTCTGAGCTGCCGGGGGTGTGAAGGGCCAGAGATGAAGCTTCGGGGTCCCTGGGTGGCACCGGAGGGCTGGGGGATATCGCGGCACCCTGTGCCGCTGCCCTCGGGCACGAGCTCTGTGCTGTTCCTCCCTGGAAGGGCTCCAGGATGGGGCTTTGAGCAACCTGATCCAGTGGGAGGTGTCTCTGCCCATTCCAACCCAAACCAGTCCGGGAGTCTGTGATTCACCCTCAGCCAGGACGGGGTTAAGAGTCAAACGTGGTGCTTTCCTCATCTGCTGGACGTTTGGCAGATCTCTGGAATGTGTCCTGGATGAGGACAGGAAAATAAGCAGCATCTTGATCAAATGAGCTTTTGTTGATGGGTCTGTTTTGTCCTTCTGCCAGTCATGGATGGAGGGGAAGACGTTCAAGTCTTGGTTTCTGCTTCCTGATCCGTGGCCTTTGAGAAGGAGCAGCTCAGAGGTGTAGAATGAGACCTCAGCTGAGAGGAATTAAACCATAGTTTTTGCCTCAAATTACGCCCCGGGGGGAGGCAGTGGCTGTAACCTGCTCTGCCACAGGTTGGTCCTGCAGGTGCCCAGCACGTGCTGTGGCACAGCAGGGGACGAGCACCTTCCTGGGACAAGTTGTTCATCTGCTCATCTCTCTGCCCGTCTCACACAGCTTTCCCTGCCACTACCATGTCTCGGAGCCCCCCAGGCAGCTCCGTGGATGACAAGACCTTTCTCCTGGAGTACCGATGCCACCCGCTGCAGCCGGAGCCCCCCGGCCCGAGCCCCCCGCCCGAGCCGCGCCGCATCGTCCTCAGCACCGACAGCCCGGCCGCGCTGAAGGTGGGGACCCAGCAGCTGATCCCCAAAAGCTTGGCTGTCTCCACCAAGACCAAGAACAGTCCTTCCCAGCACCAGAGCTTCGGAGCAGCCAGGCCGAGCCGAGCGGCCCCGGGCCCTGAGCTGAAGCGGGCAGCTGTGCCCGGCGAGGAGGAGGAGGGGGGGGAGGATGGTGGGGGGACCCTCAAGCGGAACCTGAGGAACATGCCCTACCGTGCTGCCATGAAGGGCCCGGGCACAGAGCTGGAGCTGGTCCCCTCGCTGAAACCTGTGTCAGAGGAGGGCAACCCCCTGCCTGGCCCCAGCAGGAGCAAGGTGGGTTTGGCACCTGCTGTCCCTGATGGTTCTTGGGTGGGGATGGAGACCTGGCTTTCCCTGAAGAGCCTTTTACCTGCAACTCCTGACGGTTACAGAGCTGTGGAAGCCCAGCAGGGAACTGGCAGGGAGACCTGACTTGTGCCTTGGGAAGCCAGCATGTCACCAGCAGATGCTGTAGGTGCCTGGAGAGCCCAGAAATAGCTGACATGGCTTTGGTGGGGACTGTGAGTGGCTGCTCCAGGCTCGTGCTTGTTGACATGACTGCAAGCATGTTTGCAGGGTGGGGTTGGCCCGTGTGTGGCTCCATGGTGGTGGCTGGTTGTGCACAAACATGGGTGAAGCAAGTCTGGGGAGAGGGAGCCTCCAGTGCAGGCAAAGTCCAGGTGTGTGAGAGGTAAATGTGAAAGGCATAACTACAAAATGGTTCCTATTGTGACCTTGATAACGTGAGGTGAGCGCTGAATCACCTCGGCAAAGCAAACAAAACCTCAGACGAAAACCAGGCTGAAACGACAGGGTGGTGGTTGCTGACTGGGAACTGCACTGGGAACTTCTCTTTCCTGAAAAAGTGAATTGCTTCCCAGAGCCAGAGAAATAGTCACTGCAGCCTCTTCTCCTCTTCTTCCCCTCGCAGAGGACCTTCGGGCGGAGGCGGGTGCAGAAGCGCGGCGGCTCCTTCAAGGACCGTGAGTGCTGCTTCCCGGGAGTGCCAGCTCCAGATTTTCCTCTGCCAACCGAGTCCCTTTGCCACGTCTGCTGCTGCTTGTCCCTGGCCTGGGACGGTCACTTTTCCCCACCTGCAGGAGGAGCCCTGCAGCCCTTCCTGCTGCCCGGGGTGTGGTGCTGGGCAGGAGCTCCCGGCTTGGCCCTGGCACAGCTGGGCACTGCGGGACGCTGCTGGGAGTGGGAGCTGCTGCTGAACTGGTGCTGTGCAAAGTCTGACTGTGGCAGGGAGGTGCTGGCCCTGCCTCGCCAGTGCTGGGCTCTGGGCTGGTGGTGCTGGGAAGGGAAGAAGCCTTTGGCCGCAGCTGGGAGAGGCTTCTCTGACCTCTGGCCTTTTCCTCTGCAGAGCCCCGGCTGTACCAGGAAATCCGTGAGAGAGGTCTGAACTCTGTCAGCCATGAGTCAGATGAGGATTTGCCAGGGGAATCCATCCCAGAAGAGCCCTCCCCTCTGGACACTGCTATCGTGGTGCAGAGCTACCGCCAGGCGCAGGTGACCTGGAGCCAGCTCCCAGAGGTGGGTGCTCTCCCAGCAACCTGCTGCAGGGGCTCCAAACACCCACCTTTGTCCTTGCCACAGGCTGCTCCTGCACTCGTGCCACCCTGCAGCACAGCTGCGTGTGCTTTAAAAGCTCTCTGAGCTGCCAGACAAGCTGTGAGGGGTAATTCTGGATGTGCTGGGGTGTCCAGCCCTGGCTGGGACACGCAGGATCCTGCCCAGACCTGCCGGGCTGCGGGCAGAGCTGCTGTGGTTGAGCTTGGGAGAGGTTCTCCCACAGGTGGGAGGAAGGTCCTGCCGGGGACCTGACCTGCCCCTGCTGCCCTGGGGGGCAGGGATCTGCTCCGGGGGGGCGGCACCAGCACAGGGTGATGCTGCGGTGGGTGATGCCGCGGCGGGTGATGCTGCGGGGGGGGGTGCTGGTGCGGGTGGTGCGGCCAGGGGTGGG